ATAGAACAGGGGATACAAAAAGCCCAGCAAGCCTTTATTACGAACACCAAAGAGATCATAGGCGATTCACGTTAAACTGTTTCATCGAGGTCAACGCGTCATAGCGGCACAGTAGTGCCACGTGGGGTCGGGAAGTTAACTGGGGGTTCAAAAGTAGTAGACAATGGTTGGTGAGATCTAAGGGCCTAACAAAAGCTTTATTTGTGAAATAAGGCTTTGCAGAGGCTTTTGTTGGACTTGGTCCCAGACTATCATTGTATCTACTACTCCAATAGCATACATAAATGTACACAATGATGTAACATATGTTATATTTGGGATTACACTTTCTTAGTAAAGTACAGATTCTAGCACTTTTGGGATCGAGTCCCATCCGGGATTCGAACCCGCACCCTCAAAGTCAGGCACCTAATCGCCAGCACACACAGTGATGTTTTATATACAATGGAACTACATACATGTATTCAAAGTCCAACAAGATGAGAACCTGCATCCCCACACTGCATCATAGTCTTCTTTCCTGCTTGAAGATGGTCTTTCTGACTTTGTAGTCTTTCGTTTAGTTCTTGGTACTTTCGTTTTCTGGATCGAAGATGGCCACCTGCTGTCAGTTGAAACTTGACTTGATGATGTTGATGAAAGCAAAGATGTTAGGATGGGCTGGAGCTACTTTCGACAATCTGGAATGAAAGCTCTCTACGTGGTTTGTTGTTCTCAGGCCAGCTGTATCGAAATGATTCTATATCTGGCGACTGACACCCTCTACCCATTGCTCAGTCATATAGTCTGCAAATGGTCGGACACCTTGCACATTCATGTCCAATAATTCCAAAGCCTTCCATCAGAAGTCTCCAATTGCTTGCGGGGCGATGGGGTAGCCTGGTGGTTAAAGCGTCCGCTCGTCACGCCGAAGACCCGGGTTCGAATCCCCGACTGGCAAAAGAGGATACCACCGTAACTTCTTAGTGGATGCACTAATCCTCCCTACTCAACTACATATCCTAAGACCCGTGAAGGTCCGGGTTAGAATGTGCTTTCAGTAACCCATGCTTGTCGTAAGAGGTGACTAACGGGATCGGGTGGTCAGACTCGCTGACTTGGTTGACACATGTCATCGGTTCCCCATCGGTGCAGATCGATGCTCATGCTGGTGTACACTGGATTGTCTGGCCCAGGCTCGATTATTTACAGACCGCCGCCATAGAGCTGGAATATTGCTGAGTGCTGTATAAAACTAAACTCACTAAACTCACATATCCTAATAACAACAGTCAATCAAGATTACTATGGCCCTGACCAGTGAGTCAGGCTCATTATGAGAGTATGGGGTGCATTTTCTAATCCCATTTAGCCTACATTGTTTTTGTATGCGATATGGGTTGAAGGCGAATGGAGACTAAGCCAGCCTTGGCTTAGAAAGGTTGACTGAGCAAGCAATATCAAAATGGTCTTGTATGTTCACAGAATCCAGCATTGTGCATTCATCCTTGACTATTATCGGATCCATCATGTGTCCTGATTTATGTGTAGACCCATTAATTTGCTGTTAACAGATGTGAATTCTGTAAAGAGAATGTGTGTTGAGAAATCTAAGATTTTGTATTGTAATGACAATCAAAACAGGAATTTATGGCTATGTTGTAACTAAAGTAGCATTCCAAGAAAAAATTCAACCAAGCTGAGGATTATTCTCAGTCTTCAGGTTTTCCACAAACTCTTAGCATGAGCCAGTGCCACAATTCTGTTCTCTCTGTCTCTCCAAGGGAATGACAGGATGCATGCTTTCATGCATGTCCTGTTTCATCATGAAGCCTATGGTTCACCATCATAAGATGGCACTTTCCAAAGAAGTTTTCACAATCAATTTCTATGGCCCCAAGGCCATTTCCCAAACTATGGCATCAGCCAGGCCTTCTTTTTAAACCCAAACCATTATTGTTACTTTAACATATTAACTTTGCCAGATAAGGGATTCAGCACTTGACATGTGTTGTGACTGCAGACATATTTGACGTAACACTGATCAAATATCAAGTTCGTTGGGGGATGATTCGAAACAATTCAAACTCTATTACTGTTGCCACAGGTTTGATGGATCAAAATCAAGTGGTTTAACACAGCTTTACACATGCAATTGGTCATTGGTGACAAGAACTTATGTCCCAAAGGCAGTTCCCTGAACACTTACACTGACAGCCACTGTATCCATATCACCTGCAGTTAATCTGTTTCATTGGCGTTATATAAGTTGATGAGTAATAAGAAAGGTTGGATACTTTATGGATGACAACTTTTTTATTATATTATGATGCAACATGCATAAAACTGCATAAATGCGAAATCTACTGCTGTAAACATTTTATCAACAGAGACAAAGAATACTAAAGTAATGTCGGAAATAGAAAAAAAACTTTTTTTTTCACATTTATATCTACAATTTATGTAGTTAATATGTGAAAATGTGAAATATCTGTTAAACTAAGTTCGGCCTAACTACAGTCTCAGTGGTAGGGAGATAGGAAACAGAAAAAGGACTTTACTGAGGAGAGATTAGTGCAGAAATGAGCAATGCAGTTTTTTTCTAAGTTGAAAGCAACTTATTTTGAACAGACCATGGCTTTATGCAAATTAGTGTGTGATGATATTGTATTACAAAGGAAAATTTTTAAATGCCCATTTTGAAATTAAAATAAGCTTCATTATAAACTATAGCTGACGTAAAAAATAATAACTTCAAGAGTGAAACTATTAAGGATGCAGCCACCAAGGAGTCTCGCTATCACTAAAAAAAGAAACAGGTAGGAGGGGTCGTCTCAAGAGCAAAACCAGGACGGGTGTCGCAGAGGGTGGATGGGGGTGGGCTAGGGGATAGAGATATCTGCTAAGATGAGATAATCCTTTAGGGGAATTAAACTAGGGAAGTAAACGGCATGTCATAACAATTTACAAATAATATGCAGTCCTGTCGATCTTCAGTGGTCATGTCACCTATATATTTTTAGACATTTAATACGATGGCTAATTTAAGCTTTTCTATGGGTATCATGCTCTTTTACATATCTCAACATAAACTTTATGAAAGAAAGACACGTAAGATGAGACATATACAACGCACATGAAAAAGCATAAAATATCTTTGAGATGACCCCTTGTGCCTGTGTGCAGCACATGCATTTCATGCCAGGTGAGTTGACGGTCCGTCGTCATACCTGGCTGAGTGACCAAATTGCCATCTATAGTCTGATCTATTGTTTTCAACAGCCATTCGTATTTTCTTTAAGTTTTGCCCGATTTTACGAATAAACATGATTTTCTGGATATCCTTTTACGCATCCTATGCTCAGTTAGGCCAATGTGGGTTATTTCGACATATGCTATTTGCAATTGGGTAGATTTTAGGGATACAGAGCAACAGCCTAAAAACAGTTTTTTTCTATTTCCGACAATACTTTACATACCATTTGACTACGAAGGGTTAATCAATCTGTAGATTCCAATGATTGAAATAGTGCTTAATTTGCATGGCACAGTAGATACTGAAATATTTTGTCAGTGCTCTGGTGGCAGGTGTAAAATTGTACAAATAATACTCACCATGCTTCATAAAATTGAAAATGCGATTGAGTTGACCAGAGACTACCATATAATATATTATATGGTCTCTGAGTTGATGAACTCAATTGATTCAAAACCTATTTTTGCACCTCATCAAACTATTTATCTGTGTCACTCTCGATTTTACAGCTAAACACATTTTGAATGTCACTGCCCATGTCTGGAAATCTCCTTTTGGATCACATAGTTTCTTGGTTGGCAGAAGAAAATATCTGTCCAACCATGTCGTGTCACAGAATAGAGCAGGAATATATTATCATGATTTTGCAGGAATATATACTGGCCACATAAAGAAACTGTGCGCACAGAAAATATAAATATAGGCACACAGCGTATTTATACATAAATACATTTGTGAACATAGCAAGTATTGGAGACAATCAAACGCTCATGCACGTGCAAGGCGACGTGACGTCATTGACGGTGGCCTATGGACTTGCAATGTTTTACTGCACGTGCAGCCCGTACAGCTGCACACAACATGTGAAACTCTGAAATTGCTGTCACTGTCAAAAGCTTGATCTTTGGTCATTCAAACGTTCACAAATTCACATGAGAAGTCACATGCACATCATGCCAAGATTAACATCTGCTCAACGTCATGAAGCCATTGGAATGGTTCGAGCAGGAATGAGCCAACAACAGGTGGCAGCACATTTCCAATGCCATTGTAACACGATATCTGCATTGGTCAGGCGTTATCGAAACAGTAATGGCGTCGCCGACCACACACGTTCTGGTCGTCCCCGAGTAACGATGACACGACAGGACAGGTGGATTCGGGTGACTCATCTCAGATACAGGTTCCAGACAGCAGTGACCACGCCCCAGACCATTTCCCAGGCCTCCAATGCTCATTTGGTAGCCTCAATGCATCGTCATTGCACTGCTGTGCTTCACGCACATGGTGGTCATACCCGTTATTGATTTTGTGACTTCGTCGTGTGACCCCCTACTCGATTTTGAACCTCTGACGTTATCGTTACGGATATTGTTCATGTTCTTTCGACATTTTCTCGTGGTCCGATACTTCAGCTTATAAAGTGTCAACATCATTTCGTCTTTGCTGTGTTGTATTCCAATTATGAAGGCATTTTCTGTGTGCACAGTTTCTTTATGTGGCTAGTATATTATCTGCATTTGGATTGGTTGATATTTATCAGTGAAGATTAATGTCTTTTGAAAATATGAATATTTTGTAGCTTGGACAAGCATTACACAGAAATAATGGCTATGATGTAATAGAGGTAGTATTCTTAGATTTGTGGATAATGACAACTATTTGATGTTGGTGTTTGTTTGTTACTTGTTCTTGACAATTCCTACTGTGATTATAACATTTTGTACTGTGTGGTTTTAAATCTATAAATATTTCTTTATTACAGATGCCTAAAGTTTTGGAGTTGAAAGGAGCCCTATTTAGGAATCAAGAAATTGTAAGTATTTTATGTTTTGTTAATGTTGCTAATATTTCATATAATATAACAATCATTTGTTCAGCTCAACAGAATGTTAAATTGAGCTAAAATCTAGTTGCTTTTAGGTGTTGATTCGTTGATAATTTGACATCATCTAAAACATATTTGTCCCATTAATGAGCAGTTTCTATACAGAATACCAGACACAATTTTTTAAACTTTTTTTATTATGTGATTGCCAAAATGGGCAAATTCTGATTATGATAAAATAGAGTTAGCATTTGTGGAATTATATACAATGATAACAAGTGTTTGATAGGACCTAAATTCGAAAGGTTTGTAAGTGACCCATGTGTAAGTTATTTGTAAAGTATGCCTGTTTTGTGTGCAGTTTTATGGATGTTGTGGCATAATCAATGGATGCGCTGGTTTTGATATTGAAAGACGTATGCATAAAAGATGATGACAACCTGAAGATATTAGATTGTGACAAAAAATGACGAAGATGTCTGTCTATTTTAGTTGAGACAGTCTATTTTGTGCTTTTTTAAGTTGAATGCCACAAAGGGACATTATAGTTGGCTGGAAAGCTCAAGGAAATATTCTTGAAATACTTGTAACTGTTAAAAGTTGAATTTACTCTTAAGATTGTTGATTCAAAAGGTTACTGTGTGGACAGAAGAATTGACACAACACCAAAACACTCTTGAACAAAACTTTAAATCTTACCTACATGTAAAATACCTAAATTTAAGTGGTCAATGACACTTTAACAAGTTTCCATGTGACCTCTCCAAGGAGTGTGACAACAGGAAAAAATATTACCCGCTGCCAAATTCTGCACCGAGAAGCTGTATCGCTAATAATCGTATGACCACACTGTTGGTGGCTGTCTCCAACAGTGCCAAATCAGGGCACAATTGCCCAAAATGTATGAAGTCAAATAAGGACTTAAGTGAAACCACATAAGGGTTTTGATGGTCAAATAAGGACTAAAACATGTCAAATATGGACTAAAACATGTCAAATAAAGACATAAGAGGGCTGGCTGAAAAGTTCTAAGCCTAAATAGGATAGATCAGTCTGGTTGAATCAAACAACAAGTGCAATAATTTAATGAATCATAGACATAAGAATTTCAACTGTAGTGTTATGTTTGTCTTTGTACCAGACCATCTTGTGACCCAACCCTTTGAAATCACCAGAAATGGACAAAACTGGCTATAGGGCAGTCAACAAGATACATGCCGACATGGTCACCACTTTGATGCCCCTTCCTTTTCCACAGTAAAAAAGTGGGCTGCAGAACTTAAGAGTGGCAGAGAGAGCCTTGATGCATCCTGGAAGGCCATCAACAGCAACTATTCCAGAAAACATTAACCGAATGCATGACATGGTTATGGCAGATCAAAGATTGACCACTCGACATGTTGCCAGTGTTGTGGGATCTCTCATGAGAGGGTTGGGCACATTATCTCCAACGCGATAAAAATGACAAAGGTTTCTGCAAGATGGGTGCCAAAGCTCTTGACTGCTGATCAGAAACATGTCGGATTCCTGATGTCCCATGACAACTTGCACCGTTTTGAAGCAGATCTGATAATTTTTTGGCCAAATTTGTAACCATGGATGAGACCTGGATTCACCACTTTCAACCAGAAACTAAAACTCAGTCTAAACAATGGAAGCATCTGGAGTTTCCAGCCCCAAAGAAAGCCAAGTCAGTTCCTTCTGCTGGAAAGGTGATGGCTTCAGTCTTTTGGAATTCAATGGGTATGTTGCTGATTGATAGTCTGGCCTTTTTTAAGATAGTCAATGGAAGATATTATGCTGACCTACCGAGACAGTTGCGTGAGGCTATCAAAGCTATGCGCGCGCAATGCTCACTAAAGGCGTCCTTTTCCACCAAGACAACGCTCCTGTTCACAAATCAGTGGTGACCATGTCAGCGATCCATGATTGTGGCTTTGAACTCATTGACCACACCCACCTTAATCACCTGATTCTGCTCCGTCAAACTTCCACCTGTCATCATTTTCCTAGTAATGTTGATGTGATGTCAGCTGTGGACGACTGTTACAGGGTGGCTGAAGTAAATTTCTTAATTTCTTAATTTTCTCAACGTTGCATTAAATCAACTCTCTTGCCCTCTGCCGGACGAAGATTATTTCAAGCGCTCTTTGGAGCGCTCTTTACGAATATCCTACGCCCAACGTGTGATTGAAATAAGTTAACACAACGTGTGACGGTTTTCGATGTACGGAACAGTTATTATCCCCCACAACAACGAAGTTGCGGGGATATGGAAACAAGTTCTGTCTGTCCGTGCCTCCGTCACACTTTGTCCGAAGCATATCTCCTAAACTATTGGTGATAACTTAACCAAACTTGGTACACATGTCAACCATGATCCCTAGATGTGCCTTTTGGGGGTTAGACCCAGATGTGAATTTTATTTTTTGCTGTGGCTATGAGGATGGCATCTTGTCCGGAGCAGATTTCCTAAACTATACATGCTAGTTTCATCAAACTTGGTACACAAATCAAGCACAATCCCTAGATGTGCCTTTGGGGGTTAGACCAAGATATGGATTTTATTTTGTTGTGGTATCCATGGAAACATGACATAGGCTGTGACTATGAGGATGTCTTGTTGCATTTCCATGGTTTGTCTATGACGAGCAGTGGGAGGAAAGTAAACATGTTTCAACTCGATGGCACACCTATGTGCGTTCGTGTACATGAAAAAGTACTTACATGGGATAAATCTCCATTGAATAAGCTTTCAGAAAATATTAAAATCCTGTTTCTGTGAAATTGGCACATAGGTCAAAATTGTCGTCAAAAACTGACCAATATGACAGCAAACTGAAAACTTACGAAGGCGCATTGTTTTTACACCGGTAGAAGTGACCACCTCTCTTAGTCCTTTTTTCCAGTGATAATACTTCCACCAAATAATATAGTCCGTATAAAAAAAATGTTTTTCGTAATTTTGTATTAATTTATTATATCCTCTTTGTTGTAACGCAAGAAAAATATCCCCATATATAGTACGTACGCTTCTGACAGTCCAAGTCACAAGACGAATGTTTTGACTGAACAAGTTAGTCAGGCATCAGTTACCTTCCCTTAATGACTCGCTTCACCCAGTCACTTCTACGCGTGACGATTCGCGCAGTTTTTAAGAAAGTAAACATGTTTCAACACAATAACAAACAGGTGAGCGTTGGTGTGCCTCGAAAGCTGCATATATATTTGGAATCTGTGATGAATGAGCTTTCAGAAAAATATGCACATAGGTGAAAGTCGCTGTTCAATATTGTCAAATTTTGCTTAAATTTTGCACATTTTTGTCAAAATTTGACTATTTAATGTTTTCTTTATTACCTTTTCATTCATGTCAATCAATAACTTGAACACCTATCAATGACTGTAGCAAATTTTGTTTCATTATTTTCATAAATAACACTTTTAGACACGTTTTTGTGTGACATGCAGAATTTCCTTGTCTGTGATCAGGCAGTCACGCGAAATGAGTGCCCCCCTCTCAGGTAGTCACTTGTACACGTAACGGGGGACCGTCTCGCGTACTCACGTTACATCCTCTACTGTTTATTGCATCAATAGGAAGCTAAGGTGAGTGCATATCCCCCAATATATATAAAATAGAGCAAAATGTTGTCAAAAATGAGTAACATTGTGCCTTTGAACATTAGATTTCATTCAACATTGTTGTAGCTAGAGGCAACTGACTTTCTGCTTGTATTAGACATGTTTTCCCAAAATTTATTAACCCGGAAGTGCCCGTTAACTGGGTAGCTGATGGTAGTGTAACTTTTCCATTTCAAAGAAACATGGCATATTTTTTTTTCCAAACTGGAACTCTCATCATGAAACTGGAACGGTTGCGTTTCTCAGCAAATTCGTCCGGATTGCGAATAGTCCGGACTACTGAATCAAGACCCAAGTTCAAGTAAGAGTTGCTTCCCTTACTATTACAAAAATGACACGAATCTGGATAAAACAAATAAGCATTTAATGTAAAGCTTATAAAACAATGAATAGCAAGCACAACAATAATCTATAGTCATAGCAAAAAAGTCTTTCATTGTTGTTTGTGTTCGTTTAACCTTCCTCATTGAATTCATCACATGAATAATTTTACCGAGTGACATCCGCATGTTGATCCGACGTGTCTGATCATGTCCTTCCTCAGCACAGGTGAGATAATGTCTAACAAGCGATATATTGTAGTATGCCTTGAATGTCCAAATTATTCCTGCATCCATCGGTGGAATTTGGTCACATTTCGCGAAGTTAGCGAAGCTCACTTGTGACTTGCAGCGTTGTTGAGAAGCAAAATCACTTTAAGTCCATGTGACCACATCTGTCTGTCAAAGTACATTAACCAATCACAAGATAGCTCACTTTTCATCCACGCCTTTGTATTGTGGTGTCAATCAAAGTGTAAATGTACAGCATCTTCAGTCTGGAGATTTTAATGTCTAATTAAAACAACAACCCTTAATCGACAATTCTCAAAAGTTAACAAGACCTCATCTTGTCAACTCTATGACACCAAGTTTTTTATTGTTTATGGCCAGTTAAGTAAACATTGCCGTGGGGTGTTGTTATGGTTCATGAACACGACTTACAGTGTCCGGACTGTGAAGCAATTTACTGTTTATTTTACTGATTGGTTACAGCTACTTACCGTCCGGTTCCGGAAACCAAATTTCCGGATTATCAAGCCAAATTAAATAGGCATAGATTGGTAACAAGCTAAAATCGTCCGGGAGGCGAGACATCCGGATTATTGGAGTCCGGACTAACGGGGCTTCACTGTATTATAACCGGGTATTTAGAGTTGAAAACATTATATACATTTTATAAATATTTAAGGAAAATTTGAAGTCAAGTTAAGAAGGGTGAATGTACTGGGAAAGTGCATTGACCAAGCTAACTGAACTCTTATTGATTCACTTTTCTTGGGGAATAACAATTTCTCTGAACTG